GTTCTAAAAGAATGTTTATAATCTCTTTATTTAGAAGACAGGATGCCTTTCTCTGCGAAACACCATTTTAGATAGCTGTAATATTCCTAGGTAAGCCTTCAAAGATTTATCTCACAATGCAATTGAAGTTCTACCTTACAGTATACTTGAACTTAGAGTTTAGGATGCCAGGAAGATCCCAGTGGGGACGATCGAAACCCATTCTACCATCACCATCTCCCTCTAAGCATCTACAGAGAATCCTCTGTGTAGATGGCAGGAAGTCCACCTGAATGAGTAGCAGGGGCAGGGAGGATGAAGAGAAAAATATGACTCCATGAACATGGGGGGTGGCATTTCAGACTGTTAAGAAAAGTGGAGATTTGGGGATTTCACAGCAACGAAATTTCAAAAATAGTATCAGAAGCTCTGAGTTGGAAGAAGGGGTAAAGAATAACTTGTGAGAAGAGTGGAAATGTCGGGCAAAGAGAACACAATTTTAGGTTGAATTCTACATAGAAGAAAGAAATGAAAAGAGGAACTCCAACTAGATGAGAAGAAACTCTAACTTTGAAGTTGAGCAGAGTAATTAGGAGATACTAATTAAAAGAAAGGCATAGGAAAAGAGAAGCAGGTGAAGATCAGGAGAATGCGATAGAGAGCAGAAAATTTGCAGGATGTATTTTTTCTCCCATTTCCCCAAGTAAATAAATTTTGGTGAAGAGGGCTGATTAGAGTGTGTGAGATGTACAAATAGAAACAGATCATCCCTTTCCACCTGATCCTGTCTCCACAGATTCCATGCTTGATTTAGAGGTTGAGAACAGCCCGAGGGTAAGTAGGGTGATGAGTGGCAATGCAATTGGACATATTAAGTAGTTGCAGAATTTTGTAATCCGTGGAGATAAAGTGATTGTGGGAATTAATATCTCCTGCATTCATAGGCAAGGATGAGAGTCCTGTGATGACAGAAATCCTTAGAAATAGCAGGAACTTCATTAAATAAGTAAACAAATGTCTCTTCTGCCAAAACCTCTTTCTCTCTTTTGCCTCAACTATATTCCTTCTTCACTTTGTTTTGGTCAGTCAAGCATTGAAAGTTGTTTCAACTTTAGGGTGATTTTGAGGAAGAAAGACACTGGAATTTCTAATTTTTCAAGTGGATATGAAAGTTTTCTGACAATTTTTCCTCAGGCTAAAAGTCCTGATAAAGAGAGAAAAGAAAATATTGTAATCCAAATAAAGATAAGCCAAGAGAAAAAATACTAGACTTTTCCCTCTAGATAGTCCAAAAGAAAAGATAAGTCTACAAATGTGAGTGAAAACATACCACAGTCACACCAGGAATAGCAATGAGATACTACAAAGGAAGAAGATCAGACAGGGATTGCAGATCAAAAGTAGTAGCAAGAAAGAAAGCAAAGCCA